GTCAAGACATTGAAGGTAGCATCCAATACTGAGGTTTTCATTTCATGAAAATATTCTATGTGAGCTAAGTTCCCTGAGAGAGCCGTCATGCAGCGATTTCATGGACATGTGTTCTGGACCGCCGCGCGCGGCTTGGCCATTGAATCGTGCGGAAGTTTTACGGCGATGGATTGCAAAGTCGAGTGGCGTGCAAGGGCTGACTGCACCTACCCTACAATGAAAACCGCTTTTGGAGCAAATTAATTAAACCCCTCGGTCAACATTTATCCGAAAATTCACAGTCATTGAGTGCCGAACGACCAGAGAGTCTAGAGGAATCCAGCAGAATGATTGGCGCGTTGAAAGTTAACTTTGTAAAAGCGTTCCCTCGTCTTCAGGGCAAGCCTGCTTATTTGATAATCTGAGTGTTCTGTTGGCGCATTACTGCCTACGTCCTAGCCTTTCCTAACATTTGACGTCTAAGTACCAGGATACATTCAGTGCTGAAAGTACGAAAGAATGTTTCGCCTTGAGATTGCTATCAAATAAAGCAAGTGAAAGAAGGTTCGAGACCGAACTGGCTTCTTTGCCTAACTTCTTCACCCATCGCGTTGGAAAATTTATATTGGGGTGTAGCGAGCCACTTCCAGGCAACGTCTTAGTGGCTTTTATCGCGTCTCTTCCTCCTTCTGCTCCTTTGTTGTAACTGGGTTCACTAACAGTCGCTTTGTCAACATGGGCTCGAGTCTTGGCGCTACCGACCATTCCTAGAAACTCCAAAGCATGGTCTACGTCTCGGGAAGCCTCACACCCGTTCCTCCCTAAAGTGCAGTGAAGGACCTGCGCTCTTGACCTTTCAGCTGTTATGGCCCTAAAGGCATGATAAGTCGTAGATGGCGCGATTAGAACTCATTTTATGTGCTAGCTGACTAGCTGGAGAAGAATAGTGCGGACGAGACCTGTGAAACGCTCCAAACAAGGCCCCCGCGGTTGCATTTGACCCCGATCCGCAGTCTCCGGGCTAGAAGAATAGAAATTTTCAACGTGCTTAATTGATGAACGTCAGTATTGTTGCCCTTCACTCACTTGGAAACCCTATGCTCGACAAAAACTTGAGCCTTTGATCTTTTCCTCCAGGGATTCTGTGACGTCACATAGCAAATGAGGGCACTTTCTCTCGTTTTTCCAACGTCCAGGGTTCTGTCTCTATATTTATTTGAGCCAAAGCACCTCGCGTGAAATCCCTGAAATTGAGCGCTTTCTGTTTATTTATTTGTATCATAATTGGCACAGTACCCAGAAACCTTAGGTTCAACTCTAGTCTCCTGGTGCCGAAAGTATCACGCGTGCAGCGCTGAGTTATTCAGGTTTCCTTTTCTTCCATTCTCGGTACAGTAACTGTGAAGTACTATAAGAGAGAACTGCTATTAAAGAGGAAACCCTCTAGAACCCTGTCTACTTCAATACTTCATGTTGACTGAAGTGTACTGTTTAAACGTTGGAACGGGTCTACTTGAAGCACGTTCCGTGCTGATCATGTTGGTGGAAACGGGAGACTGTACCATTGGTGCGCCCCTTTACCGTCTCCCCGTCTACAGATGGTAAAGAATTCAAGAACAACTACAGATATTACAAATCCAGCGATTTAATATACTTTATTGACTATCTTTTACGTAACAGCTTTTGTCTTTTTGCTAATAATACGTTCAAGCAGACTAAAGGTGTCCCACAAGGTGGCAATTTTAGTCCACTACTGGCAGATCTTACGCTTTCTGTCATGGAGTATGACTATGCTAAATCTAAAAAGTTTAATAAAAGTAAGCTGTTCATTCCATATAGATATATGGATGATTTGCTTGTTGTCACAACCAAACTGATGATGATGTGGATGAACTACTTTCTCAAGTTTATCAAAATACCCTTCAGTTGAAAAAAAACTCATAATAAGTGAAGTTTCTAG